ACCTTGTAGATCTGAGGTAAAGTGAAATCCACACTAGCAGTTCAATCTATCATACTACCATGCAAGAAGAGCCACACTTCTATGGATCACCCAATAAAATCAGCAGATTCCTAGATATGACTATATTACTCGGCTATAAGTATCTCAGGGAATTTGCATTACCTGCTGATGTAGACCTGACCAAATAATTAAACGTAAATTCAAAATTTTACCTGAATTTACCTGAGAAGCCATTAACACTAATGCCTCAACGAGGACAGGAAGGCGGTAGCTTGTCAACCCCCCCCCCACCACCATTTGCCCTGATGATCTTTTCCAGTTGTATTTTAAAATTTAACAGTTTTGGCATTTACGGCTTCGGCGGGTAGGCGGTTCCGTGGGTTTATAACCCTGTTGGTGAAAAAGCATCCCCCGTACTCAGTCCTACACGGTACTCACATAGTTTTGCTTGCGGGGGGGGGGGTTGAGCTGCGGCTCTTTGGTACCGCCTCTCAACTCTATCTACTGGTACTATCTACTCAACTCTATCTACTGTACATCTACTGGTGTACAGGATCCTGAGTTTCTTGAATTCTTTCATATCTACATTTGAAACTGTTTATGGAGGCAGGAAGTGATGTGGCTCTACCACATCACTTCCTAATGCATTTCATTTATTAACTACTCTGACGGAGTACTTATGGCCCATTACAAGGAATCGACTTGAGAATGGTCCAGGACGGACCGAAAGTCGTCGTCACTTCTTTTTCTAGTGTGTGGATTGGTCAACTACTCTGACACTGAAAAAATTATTTCTAATGTCTCTGTGGCTCATTTGGGTACTCAGCGTCCACCCGCGTTCCCTTGTGTGTGTACCACCCGTGTTAAATAATCCGTCCTTATCTACCCCTGTCAATTCCGCTGATAATTTTTTATGTGGTGATTATGTTCCCCCAAGCTCTTCTGTTTTCCAGCGACATGATGTGCAATTCACGCAGCCTTTCCTCGTAACTCGTGCCTTATAGTTGAGGCATAGACTCCATGCTGGGGCTGCATACTCCAGGATTAACCTTATATATGTGGTATACAAGGTTCTGAATGATTCCTTACACAAGTTTCTGAAGGCAGTTAAGATGTTAGCCAGCCTCGCATACGCCGCTGATGTTATTGTTTTTTCTTCATGAAACAGATTCGGCGTGATATCAACTCCTAGATCTTTCTCTCTGTCCGTTTCATGAAGGACTTTCTCTCCCATTCGGTATCCTCTGTCTGACACTCTTTTTCCTCCTCCTAGTTTCATTACCTTACATTTACTTGGATTGAACTTTATTAGCCATTTGTTGTACCATTCCTTCCTGGAGTTTCTTATTGAGAAGATTTCCTGGAATTTCTTATCGAGTTCCTCGCACACTTCCTTGTCGTTTTCAATGAATCTGTCTGCCCCTATCCTCAGTTTCATCACCTTTTCTTTCGCTGTTTTTCTTCTTATGTGGCTGTGCAGCAATTTAGGCTGAGTCTTTGCCTTGCTTGCTGTCATTTTCGAATTGTTTTTCTGCCTTTCTTCTCACCCTGAGGTATTCATTCATGACCCACTGGTATCTTTCTCTGTTTTCTAGTGTTCTGTTATTTCTATAGTTTCTCCCACGCCCTTGTACTTAGTTGCTTTGCCAGCTTACACCCCTGATTAAGCCATCTGCATTTCTTTTTTTTTCCTTTTGAACTGGGACAAACTTGTCTGCTGCCTCCTTACACTTCTGCGTGATGTAGTCCGTCATGGCTTGGTCCGTCTTTCCTTTGAGCTCTGTTTCCTATGTTATATCTGTCAGGAATTTTCTTATATCCTTATACTTTTCCTTCCGAAATGTCAGCCTTTTGTTTTCTAGTCCCTTCCTTGAGTACGTTAGCCCTACTTCTACCAGATACTCAAACATCAGTACACTGTGATCGCTCAAACCCCCAGGGGGGCTTCGAAGCTGATTTCCCTCATGTCGGAGTCATTCAGAGTGAAGACCAGGTCGAGTCTCGCTGGTTCATCGTTGCCTCTCATTCTTGTGGGTTCCCTGACATGCTGGCTTAAAGAGTTTCTTGTTGCCACTTCCAATAGTTTAGCTGTCCCATGTTTCCTCCATTCCGTGCGGTTCCTTGTCTTGCTAGTCTATCTTTCCGTGATTGAAATCTCCCATGATAAGCAGATGAAATCGATTTCTACAGGCGACAAAGGGCTGTAGAAAATTATAGTGTTAACTGCCATGTTGCTTCAGTCATACTCTTGCCTGGGACTTCTGTCATTTGGTGGAGGGTTATATATCACAGCAACTATTACTCTTGCTCCTCCCATCGTCTTGGTACCTGTTATGTAGTCTCTGAACTCCATCTTTGGCTTTAAACTGCGGCTTGTTGAACTTGAACCCGTTGCTCCATGATATCACACACCCTCCGTCACCGTGTGATGGAGCGCAGAAATGTTTACCCAAATGTACCCAGTTTGATAACCGTAGGTGGTAAATGTGGGTGAGTGCAACCTTTCCACCGCTGCCCACTGGATGGGCGGGGGGGAGGTTGTGCATAACAGGCAAAGCAATTAGGAAACCTTAGCTCACTGCATTATGTAAGCTACTCATGCGCAGACTATTTTGATTTCGTAAAGAACTTATTCTAGAGACGTGTGTGGTCGGTCGCGAACCCGTTGTTGACATAATATTTTACATTAAACCGTGTAACTAGCTTATCACGGCTGCAACCTGCTTAACTCAATGAAAGTTTGGTTCAGTCCCTGAGCCCATTATGTATCTCTAACCTTTTCTACTACCGGCCACGGGATGGGTATGGGGGTCCACTACCGGCACGGGATGGGTATGGGGTCCACTACCGCCCACGGGATGGGTATGGGGTCCACTACCGCCCACGGGATGGGTGTGGGGTCCACTACCGCCCACGGGATGGGTATGGGGTCCACTACCGCCCACGGGATGGGTATGGGGTCCACTACCGCCCACGGGATGGGTATGGGGTCCACTACCGCCCACGGGATGGATATGGGGTCCACTACCGCCCACGGGATGGGTATGGGGTCCACTACCCCCCACGGGATGGGTATGGGGTCCACTGCCCCCCACGGGATGGGTATGGGGGTCCACTACCCCCCCACGGGATGGGTATGGGGTCCACTACCCCCCACGGGATGGGTATGGGGTCCACTACCCCCCACGGGATGGGTATAGGATGCATAATAAATGAACTAAACTTCATGAATTATGCAAACTAACATTGCACCTGTTGGGCTAAACAGCATCAGACATTAACTGTCCTACAACCATGGAAAGTTCTACTCACTTTGAAAGTTGATATTCATTAGGTCACGTATTAGCTGTAAACTCAAGCGGTCATCGTGTATTGTGTATGGAGCAACTCTGCACACATCAGCCAGACGCAGAGGTCACTTAACACACCGTAAATACGGTCGTCTGGCGAGACTCCTCACTACGTCACCTCTGGTGTTTACAGAGCAAGATCAATTGCCATAGAGCAATTACAGAACACAGAGCAATTATAGTAAATAGAGCAATTACTACAAAGCAAGCCCCAAATACGGTACAGTATTCTACACTTGGTTACAGTAATTAAAAATAAGGAAGGCGACGAACAAAGGATGTGAACAGCTTAGGCTATCCTCGTTCAAGCTGAGTTCGTCCCGAAAGACGTATTCATAAATTTTAACGTACCGTATTTTCAAACTTATTTTTTCCTCATATATAAATAATAATATTATATATTAAGAGTTTTGTCTATAGTTAGGCATAGGCTAGGGTTAGGTGTTTAGGTTCTATTGGCAATTAATTATATTTGTAGAACTGTACAGAACGTGGATGAAGCATTTCAACCCGTCCTCACACTAGGCTGTTTAGAGCAGCGGCCGTCTTCCCCAGACGCATTCATCAATTTTAACATACTGTGTATTACAAATTGGTTTGTTCTCATATGTAAATTAATATTTTTAGACATAAAATTTATATGTATAGTTAGGCGTAGGTTAGGTTAGGTGTTTAGGTTCTGTTGGCGATTATTTGTATTTGTAGTACGTGGGTGAAGCATTTACAGCGTTGTGGTTCGAACAAAAGTCGTCAGTGAAGCACTTGTTCCGGAAGTGTTCGAACATCAACAGTTGTGAGTCGTGTGTAAACCGTTTTTTATTCATCAACAGGGGGTTTGGCGGGTGCATGGAATCACTTTTGGGTCTTTGTTTGGAGGACGGGCTGGAATACATAGCATGTAAAAGTTGTTGCGTGCGCCTTTGTGGTCACTCACAGCTTGGACAAACAGTCAAATAATAATTTGAATTATTTGTATATACATTATGAGGGCGAAGTATTTCGATCAACCCGTCCTCAGCCTATGCTCGTCCAAGCAGCGGCCCACCCCCAAAGGCGCATTCATTTATTTGACCGTACTCTATTCGAAATCAGTATTTTCTTAATTATAAATTAATATTATTATATTATTGTTTACTGGGGTGTAGGGTTAGATCTTTATTATTAATGACCAATAGTCGTGTATTAACTTGTAAATATCGATTTTACAGCTTATACAAAAAAAGTAACAATGAAAGGAGAAAGCTGAATGAAGTATGTGTCAAACTAAATAGGCTATATGAACCAGTGGCGCTGTACAGAAGGCGGTTATATGAAAACGACGGGACTTTTGACAAGCCGCCGGTTTCTTGTCCTCGTCGAAGCCACTAGAGAGACGGTGCCCTTCAGGTAAATTCAGGCAAATAACTGGTTGAATAACCACATAGGGACTTGCCTTTGACTAATGGGTCACTTCACCAAGGCAACTAACTATAAGGCTATCTGACCCCGAAAACATGCAACTCTTTCCATGATTAAAGAATATCATTGTGTACACATGCGACTGTCAGTGTCAGGCTTGGGTGATGGATACAGGCCAGCTTCAAGGGCTGCCACAGCGTTTCCAACTCATCTTTCATTACAGAACTAAGGACATATATATACACACTTAAATAAACCGGTTTTTTATTAGACCGGTGTTCATACTGTGTTCAGGCACATTGACAATAAGAAACATTTGCGAAAGTATAAACATACTAAGCGAAATATAAGTTCGCTTTTATTTCATAAACTTTTATTATAATTTCTTCTCATTATCTTACTATCAGCCGTGGCCTTGTATGAATAACCTATAATTAAAGATATTTTTTCTCAATTTACGCGAGAACTTCATACTGCAAACTCAAATATATATATATATATATATATATATATATATATATATATATATATATATATATATATATATATATATAATTAGTGTAAAGGACCGTTAGCGCCGAAAGAATAGATTATTTATACAAATTCCACTGTACTGCATGTGGGTGCTTTGAGCTGGATCTCAGTAGCAACTCTTAGTAAGGAAACTACATGACATTAATAAGCTACAAACATGAACTTTTGTTCCCAAAAAACACGTTACAAATACAATTACATTGACTCGGTACGGCTAACATCACACTAGGTTGTGGAACATGATAGTATAGTAAGGACTTAAGAGCACCTTTAGTACGAACAAATCCAGCTGTTTCGAGACAGTGAAATATATGATAACCTATCAACATAGACAACGCTTTAATATTTGGAATAAAAGGTAGTAGGCTAAATTTTATTTACTTTAAGGCTTAGTTATTATTGGGGGAAAGAAGTACATAACATAATAGTGAAACAATATCATTCTAAATTGAGGCTATCTGATGTAATCCCAAAACAAATCTATAATTGACTATGTCTTATACAGCCAAAAGGAAATACAGTTATGCGCGAAAATATAAGTATATACATATACAATTATAAGTCGGAAATACAATTATAGGAATATCCTTTAAAGCTTGTAAGAAAACTAAGAGTCCAGTCTTGGTGGGAATGACACCTCTACATGAAGAGAGTTGGGGTTACAACCCAGCAACCTATCACTATGGGAATCCATGAAGAGGACGGTATATGGGGCGGGACGCCGCTTTGTGGGTACATGGAGTTACAACCATTCTTGTCGCAGCACTGAACACATAACTCGTAGTTGATACCAAAGCCCTTGGGTCGGCAGCTCTCGTAGCATATGTTCGTACACTCCCGCTTCAACATAGTCAATATGCCGTTCACCTCGGTTCTCTCAACCTGTTCAAATATACACACTTCAAATTATATACTCTCAAAGGCAGGCTAAAATTATTATTTGATGTAATTAAACAAAAAAATGCAAGGAGTATATATACATATATATTGTATATATCCTGTTGCCCCATGATATAATCTCTTACACCATGAATATAATAATGCACTTACCCTACAGAGAGTGTCAGTTCTACCACAGTGGACAAGGTAATCATCACTGACTGTGTGGTTATTGTGGTGGCCAAGGCACGGGTGGTCCCACTGGTACTCTCTCTTGCGGAAGTCAAGCTTGCAAGAGTAGCATATGAGGCTCCCTGGAGTCGGCAACTGCGACGACTGGCTCCATACTGCCAAGACAAATATTTGTTGCAAAAAGAGTAAATATTCCGTTGGCATGTACACACATTTTTGATGACTTGTGGGAGAGTAACATGCTTATACACAAAATTATATTTTACAAAGCTTTAAAAGACAAATATATATATATATATATATATATATATATATATATATATATATATATATATATATATATATATATATATATATATATATAAACAAATAAAAACCTGTATAAAGAAAAGGTAACTTTTTAGTGCCTGAAGTCTAATTAGTAATACAACATAAAAAATCTGCATTCTGGTAATTATATGCAAATATAACAAATTAATTAAATGTCATCAGTCTATTAAATAATATAAGTTATTTAATACTTTTATTTAATTATGATAAGCTATACCAAATAATACTGACAGGTGTAACTAATTAACCAGAGACCATATTAACATTGTGCATTAATGGTAGGCAATATCAGAGGCTGAATGAACCTTGCTGACTAGTCATTTAGCCCGTGAGCTCATTTTAATACTCCCGTATTTCATAGGCCTACAAACTATTTATATAACAATTTCGTGAATAGTGAAGCAAACCTACTCATGCCTATTGACAGGCGCGGACGCAATCTCAAGGTAATTATAGGCTTTTTAGTCGTGAGACATTTGTATGTTTTGATACGTCCTCAGAAAACGATGCACTACTGATCTGTGTCTATAGAGGAATATTTGTGCTCCAGCATAATACAGTATTCCTCGACATATTTTCATAGCCTCTTTAATTCCTTTTTTCTGTTTTGATTGTGTGGCTTTCAGCTTCATTGCTCCGCCTTGAAGCGGTTAACTACGATCCATAATGGGCCAATCACGGCACCGTTCGTTATCCTCGACATAATTACCTACTTTACCATGCGACCCACATTTTTATCTGTTGCACCTCACAAATTCCTAGATCACTTGATTGGCGGTCGGAGTGTGGCTGGCTTGATTGACGGTCGGTGTGTGGC